TAACGTAAGAGCCAGGCAGGCACCAGAGCCCTGACTGCCAGCTTGCCACAGCCAAAGAAATTAAAGCCAAACTGACATATGTTCTGAATACTTCTCTGCCTGTGTCATTTGAGGCTGCAGCTGGCTGGGTGCCCTTCTGGTTGTGGACAGCCTTGGCATATGGTTTCTGCTATTTCTTTGCATGCGGTGCCTCAGATTTTGGAAGTCCTTTTTTAAGTTATACAGTAAGAGTGGCTTTGTTGGGTTTTTAAAAGTAAACAGGCAGGTGAAGGGGAGGTGCTTGGATAGCTCTTGGAAAGGATTTACCAAGGTTCTCCAGAAGAGTGTGATGATGGGCTTGGAAAGCTGCTTAATTTTTTAGATTAAAGTTATTCAGATCCTGGCCAGCATCCAGTATTTGGTTTTTCTCTTGCTCTGCCTGGAATAATTTTTCTCACTCTGGGGCTTGTGTAAAAATGTTTCATGGAGTTCAGAAACTACTGATCAAAAGTGACCATCTGTGACCCCTTGGTTGGCATCTGGATGTACATTTTCCACTTCTGAGGTGCTGAGATAACAGAGCACTGTTGCTGCTGGGACTAGAAGCCGTATCATCAGATATAATAATGCTTTCCAGATGCACTTGTTGGTTTTTAGTCTTTCCTAAATGAAAATGAGTTTTGCAGGTGGCTAATGCTAGAGGGTAATTTGTTTCCGTGCTTGTTTGAAGCCTTGTAGCAAGCCCAAAGCTGTGAATAGAAGATGGAAATAAAAGTAGAACGTGATTTCAGAAAAAAACCCTCCATTTTCTGTGCTGGTGAAGTGACTAAGCTGTGTGGCTGCTGATGCAAACCTTTCATCTGCCCAAGGAAAAGGGTTATTATCTTCAGCTGAAGCCAATCGGGCATTGAGCACATTTGAGCAGCACATCCAGGCAGCTATTTGCATGAGAAATGTGAAGATGAGACTTTGATGTATTTGCAACTTCTGAATTCCCATTATGTTTTTGATTGTACCACCCGTTGGGAGAGCCTGGGACACCTTTCCCTTGGCTGAGCTGGAACCCAGGAAGGAATTTCGTACTCCGTTATCCTTTCCATTCTGAGATAACTTCTTCTCTCCTCTCTATAGCTGAAGTCTGGAGAAATATGTTAACGACAGTCAGAGGCCATCAGCCTTGCCTTAGGGAGTCAGGGAGATGCTGGGAAAGAGGGAGAGATGCTGATGGCAGACTCACAGCTGTGTTTGTTGGAAGGGACCCCTGCAGACCATCATCAACACTTGGCCAGGACATTCCTGGCTTTGCCATGCTGAGACCTCCTGGGATGCTCTCTGGGTAGTCCTTTCCTGTGCTGTGCTGCACTGGGCTTGCTTATTAAGTGCTGACACAAATTATCATGGTAGGGAATTTCCAGAAATACTTTTTTTCCTGCTGTAAAACATTGATTTGCTTAAACAAAGTGTTGGGCTGATCTGAATCATTGTATTTGGAGCTTCTGACCTGAAACTCAGAGGTTACATGGGGTACCATCACCCACCCAGGGGTCTGGCTGCTGGGATGCTCAGCTTGAGCCCATAATCCTTGGGCTGTTGGACATCCTACTGCAGCATGACCTGTCTGATGGTGCCAGCTCCCTGGGATAAAGTCTCAAAGATTGCATCATGTTTCAAGAAAGGCAGGAAGAGGAGAAAAAAGGCTCATCAATGCTTTGAACCAAAGGAAAAACAGCAGAAACTCTGTACAGGACAATTCTGATGAAAGCCCATCCACTGGATAATCCGCAATCAGGGACATGGCAAGGGAAAGATGTGACTTCCCAGGGATCCTCATTAGCTCAGGTGCTCATCAAACTGCAATTTAATGCTGGGTGGAGTTTTGGGGGGAGAAATGTATTTTTCTCTTGGGCACACAGAAGGTACAGCCATCACTCTGGGCAGCCCCTTCCCCTAGTCATGCACGAGTCATGCGGCAGTAATTAGTCTCTGGGCAAGTTCACTTAATTAAGCCCACTGAGGAGATGCTCTCTCATGTTGTTGCTCTTTAAACTCCCACATACACAGGGGGAGTATCATGCTTTAGAGGTCTTTTTCTTTGAAATAGTTGGATATGAACCATCAGGGAAAACTATTTCCCTATTGCCAATACTTCTCTGGTCAAATTAACTCAGTGTATATAAATGGTGGTGGGTGGTGAGCAATAAACAGCCCTTTTTTGTGGCCAGAGTAGTTCATGGCTTGGGCTCCGACTTTTCAGAAGGATGAAATCTGAGCTCCTGTGCTTGCCTCATATTTCTGTTGAACAAACTAGGTGTCAAATAGCAAATGGAGTATCTTCAAAGTAATGTTGAAGGGTGCACATCCCTAGCCAGACTAGGGGTGTGAGTTTGTGCTGCTCCATGCTACAGCCTCATTGATTGGAAAACAGAGAAAAGGCCTGAAACCAAAAAGACTTAGATTTTCTTGATTTTTTTTTTCCTTTGAAAGAAAGACTCTTGTTTTAGAAAGAGGTCAGATAGATGTGGCTTCTACTATGCAGGAAAAACCGTATGACACAGAAATCTTTAATGATTTCTTCATTTTAACTAGAGCATTATTACATTCTGCTTAGTTAGTTGGGTTATGGCTTCAATAAGGTCTTGAATTAGTCATACTTTTAATCTAATTATACTTAAACTGAAAGCTAATTCACAGCCAAGTGTTCTGGTAGCTGAAAGATTTTTTTATTTTCTGAAAACGCGAGAACAACTTGTTGCCATTTTTTCTTTTTAGCTTGTTGTGGCATACAGGAATGTTGAATATTTAGCAGCTGGAAAAAAAATGGTAACTAATGCTCACCTAAATGTTTTCTGAAATGCTGAAGGGTTTTGTGATAAGTGACTGCTCCAAAAATATCCTCTGAAGGGCAGCTCTGGGATAAAGGGTTAGGGATGACAAGGATACACGTGGGGAGCTGCCACTCCCCATTTCACAAGGCTCAAAACACAGATCCTGAATATTTGCAGCATAAAACATCCTCCTGGCATTACCCATGGGCTGGTTACTAAAGCCAGAGCACCTTATAAATTGTTTGCACACACGGGAACATCCCATGGGATGGAAACATTGTGCTCAAGTACCTGTTGATTTCTCTTTATGAATTTTCATCTGAACATTGTCGTATTATTTTATTAAGGCAGCTTGTGACTTCAGTCATTTCTTTCATTAAGGTTATTCTTAATGCAATATGGCTTAAAATTAAAAGCAGCTTCTCAGCCAAGTTAACATTCAGGCACAATTAAGTTAAATCATATGGCAAGATATGAGGAAATAAAAGACCATTTTTGGCAGCAGCAAATCAATTATTAAGATGCAAAACCACATGGAATACAATAATAGAATTTTTTTTCTCAGTAACATGCCCTAGCTGCAAACCCATAACCACTTCAGTAGGTGTTTATAAACACTGTCTTCTGAAAAATATAATTGAAGCATTTTGTGGATGATGTTGTTGTAAAAACTGTTCCTGTGCAGTTCCTGAGAGTAGCAGTTGACTTTCCAGGCTCTGAGGTAGAGAAAGACTTGATGAACAACTGAGCATGGTCCTCAGGCCAGCATGGGGCTGTGCTGCTGTTGGAAATGCATTGTCTGGATTTCTCTCCTGAATTTTCTCTGCCTGTGAATTGCTGAGGCCCCATGTTGGCAATCACATGCTGCCAAAACGCTGTGCACTGCCAAAGCTCCTGGGGTCAGGAGTTAGCTCTGTTGGGTAGTATTTTGTATCTGCATATTCAGTGGATTTGGGCATGAGAACATCAAGTCAGGGAAACTGAGCTTGCAGCATCCTGAGGGGGTTTTATAGGATTCAGTGAAGTAATTCCAGGGTTTGAGAAAAATGATAAATCTCTGAAGGAATGAAGATAAAGTAGTGCTAAAGCTCATTTTTCAGAGAGAGACATGTGCTGCCTGCAACAGCCACACACCGTGCGTCCTGCACTGTGAAGGTCTCCGAGACAAGAGGTGAATTTATACACCCTGATAGATATCATCCAAAGGGCTGTGTGACTCAGTGATGTGTTTTTACAGCAGGAGACTGGTCGGGTGGCACATTTCTGGCAGGCTGAGAGACATCTCACGGTGTTGAGATGTTCATGTTTGCCTTGATTTGGGGATCAGTGCAGAGCTGCAGGAGGATGCTGCCAATGAAAGTGCTACTGAAAGCTTCTCTTTCCTTAATCCACTTATGTTGACAAGTTAGAGCAGGGATGAGTTTAGTTAAAGAAATAACTTTCCAGGATATAAATGGATTGATAAAATATAATTCTATTAGGAGATCGTTTCAGTACTTGAATGGCACTAATAATTGTGTGGGAATTGGAGGCACAAAGAGATTAGCAGAAATCTTTATTTCCGAGCAGGTTGTCTGTTGAGATGTTGTTACATAAACTAAATGTTCGTGTATTAAGAAGTAATTGTGCAATTTTGTCTGGAGGGAGGAGCTGTGCACAGCCCTGTGGATGCTTCACAGGGGGAGAATTAGGACAATAGGTCCATCTAGAAAAGTAAATTTTTCAAACTTTTATTCTGAGTAAATGGGAACAAACACAATCCTGTGCCACATCAAGCACCTCGCCAGGGTGTTGCCAGGGTGGATGTTTGGGAAGAAGTCAGAGGAGCTGATGTGCTGTATGTGCTGGGTCCCAGACAGACACAGGTCCCCCAGTGAAGGGGATGCACAAATACCCATTTCCTCTCAGGAAATATCCAAAAGAACATGTGAACTGGTTCCAGCTGCACAGATACTGGAAGATGCAGTGGGGTGTGGATGCCTTGAGCGGTACCAAGCCTTGCCTTCTCCATTGGCTGTCCCTGCCAGTGGCTGGGGGAGGCTGAGGGGGAGTGGGTGACATTGCAGGTGGATATCTGAGTTTAAGCCTGCAGGAATCCTAACTGTAGCCTTCATCTGTCCTTTACATTAAAATTGTCTTTCTTTCTCTCTCTTTTTTTCCTGCTTCCTCCCCTGCCTCGTTCTCCCCTTCCTCCAGCAACGTGGACACTAAGGAGCTGTGTGGTGAGTGCAGCCCCTTTTGGGGCAGAAGCAATCATTGCATGCACGTGGGTCTTTGAAGAATGCATGAAACCCAGCACAAAGCTCACAGTGCTGTGGCAGCTGCAGACCTGGGGGATCTCAGCCCTTCTGCCACTTTGTTCTGTATTCTGCAGGAAAATAGGCAAAACTTTTCTTCACTTTCTTGCAACACAAATGGGGTCAGAGCTGAGTATAGCACCTGCTCCCTGTTCAATAACAAGCTGGAGTTTAATTTCTGTAGGTGTCCTGGCTTCCAGCTTTGCTCTGAGGTTCAATAAACCCATAACCCTCTGCAGTGCCCATGAAGTGTTTCTCCTTAGGCCATGCTGTGTGTTTCCCAGCAGGCTGCCTACGGTGTGCACCACCTCTGCTGCACCTCCCACAGCTTGCTGAAATTAAAAGCGGAAAAGAAAATCCCTGATAATGTTTTGTCCCACACCTTGACCAGAAAGGGAATATTTCCTGCCGGGATTTCTGAAGGGCTTTGCCTCTATTGATGGTGACTCATGCTGCTCACTCAGGGGTATTTTTCCATGGACACTTGATATTGGGAAACATCTCCTGTACCCCAGGTTTTTGGGAGGAGATGAGGAAACAGAGTTGTGTGGCACTGCATTGCGCTCATCTGTCTCTTCTCCTCCCCTCCTGTGCCAGAATGCAGAAGAACATATAAAGCCATCTCAGCAGGTCTTCACCATTTACCTTCATCACTTGGTTGCTAATTGCAGACTTCAGGGGTCTGGCTGGGAGTGGGTTGTGCAGCCAGAGAGGCACTTGCTGGGTGCCTGTGCCAGCACCAGGTAGTTACTCATTCCTGATACTTTTAAGGCCTTTCCATCTATGGCAGCCTGTGGGTCTCCCTGCACCACAACACTGCTTAGGGTTTCTCTCCTTCTGGTGTACTTCACCCCTGCCCACACCATTCTTAGCATCCAAACCTGCAGCAAAAGCAGCAACATTTCCCCCTTCCACGGGTTGCCCCTGTGTGTTCTTGCTTTGGTATGCAAGAAATCAAGACTTCCATAAAATCCTTTTTGTTTGCTGATAAGATGTTTGAAGATGTGGTAAGCTTGTTCCCATCACTCCATTCTCATTGTGTTAGGTCTCCTTGCCAGCTGACCCAAGAAATCAAAACCCCAGAGCTTGTACCATCAACTTTGCCAGGAAATCTAGGGGTAACACTGGCATTGCTTGACCCTGCCCAGCTTTCTCCATCACTCTGATAGAATCAGAAAATTACATGGCTGTCACCCAGCGTGATCCCATCTCCCTGCCTCTCCCAGGGGTGAAGCTGTCAGGAGAGGAGGGAGATAAGCCCATCACCTCCTGTGAGAAGCTGTGGGAAGGATTGATCAGCACAAGATCCTGCCTAGATTTGTTTTCTTCTGAATACCTGCCCTCGTCTGCAATTTCTGATTTGCTTGCTTCTCTTCTAAGCATTAATTTAAACATAAACCCTCATTTTATCTAAATCGAAGCTGTAGTGTCTCTCTTGAAATGGCTTGTGTGTTATAAGATGTTGAGAGCATCTTAAAAGAGATTTCTTGAGCCCTGCAGCATATATGACATATTTGGTTATGGCTGTTAATCCATATCAGATAGCATCTTAGAAGTTCAGGGGTTATTTTTTCCTGCCGATGAATGCAACAATCACCAGCAACTTGTCTGACTTAAAGGCAGTTGTGCAGCTCTTTACCAGCAGAGGAGCTGCCAGTCATAGCTGAGAGCACTGAATAAGCCCAGAAAATGTGAGTACAGGTACAAAATTGTACTCACCACCTTTCAGTTTAAACAAAGCACAGACATTCATGCAGTTGTACCAGCTGACTAGAGAACTGAGTGTGCTCTACAAACAAGAGATACTCATTGACCAGACTACCAGGGTGGTGGGTGATGGCTTTGCTGGGGAGTGGTGGCTGAGGGACACCCATCTCCTCCCACACCAGCCCTGGGTTGCAGTGATGCTCTTCCCCTGAACATTGACTTTATTGCCTCTGCAGAAGTGTAAGCTATGAGCAAGGACCATGTAGGGTAGGAAGAGCTGATCTCAGATATTCATATGAATAAATAAGGCTAAACCAGCAGAACTGAATACTTCATTAAAGTCAACACTGTTCTTCTCCCAGGTGCTCCTTGATCAGTCTCGAGGGCTGTGCTCTGCCCAGAACAGCTCGTTTCTCCTGAAATGTATGGGTCCAGCTTTTTATTTCAGGGCTTAGAAACAGTCTTTACCTTTCAGATCTGCTCAGTTTTTCTTTCCCAAGTAAAGCAAGAGCAGCAACACAAATAAGCACACTGCAATGAGAATAAACTGTTTAGCTTATCGTGGAACAGCAAACAGCTGCTGTCAGTCATGCTGTGACATTCCGGTTTCTGCCAAAATCTTCTTCCCTTTGGATATGTTCTCAGACTGTAAATAGCTATAGGCTCTTCTAATTAAGCCAAGAGAACCTAATTAGTGGGATTGTTTCCTGAAGTTTATGTCTTGCTGCATTCCACAGAGATGTCACCTCAGTGTGAAGCTTTGTATCTTAGTGCTGAGGAATAGAGCCAGTGGCTTCTAAGGAATAGCTTTTAGCTGTACTTTGTGTCAATCACCCAGAAAACATGAATCTTTGGGTCTCTGCTGCAAACTCCCTCCGTGCCTTGCTGTTGTGCTCCACTGCTGCTGTTTCCATTGTGAACAGTCAATTTCAGAACTCTGTAGCTCAGGCACAAAGCTGCACTGGGCTCTTAAGTGTCAGGGAGCCTTCAGCCAGCTGGGGACACACCAGTTTAGGCTTTTTACGTCGGTGAAGAGCAGCTGGGATTGTGTCAGGCCACTGCAAAGCTGTGGTGCAGCCTGGTGCTGATCACCCCTCCTGCAGGAGGGCTGAGGATGGCACAGAGAAAGTGTGGGCTCTGTCTCTGTGGAGAACATGTGCTTTTGGGCACAGCTCGCAGCTCTCTTCTCTTTCTCTCAAGGCATGTTTTACTCTTAGAAATTTATTCAGCCTGTGATTATAGTTGTCTCAGCTCAAATAAATTGGGGTGAACCTGGCAGGTATTTGCATGTCTTGAGTGGTAAAGAATGTCAAGGAAATGGAGTGGGGATTTCTTTGGAGACTTTTCCCTCTATGTTGACAATAGGAGGGAGAGAGACATGAGACAGTCAAATGCAGAAGTGGGTGTGGAAATAAAGCACCTGCTGAATTATTTTAATCAGAGCTACCAGGTCTTACATCTCCTTTTTACAATGGTCCCAAACTTCATGGGAAACACACAACTTCCCATCACTGCAGGGCAAGTTGTGACTGACTCAGGATATAAATTCATATCTGAAACCATCCTCTCAGGTTTGTCTTACCACCAGTAAACAAACCTCACTGTGTCACATAGCCTTGGAGTGTTAAGTTACATCAACATGTTCCCATTATGTCCCTCTTGGTTTTCCCAGACTATTTTGCTGACCATATGGGAGACTACGAAGATGTTTTGGCCTCACTGGAGATGCTGAACCTCTCCATCCTGAAGGCAATGGACTACACCAAGAGGGTGAGTTCTCCTTCCTGCACCTCATGCTTCACAGGCTGAGAGAACAGTGCAAATGTTGCATTAACAGAGCATATAAGTCTTGAGGTTCTCATCCTCTTCAGCAGTGCTGTCTGCTCATGCTCTACAGCCAACATAGCCCATGGGTCTCTTGGGTGGGATTCTGAATGCATGAGTTCTTGTTAGCATTATTGGGAGTGCTTTTGTGGCTTCATGTTATAGAGCTGCCATTAAATCCAGCTCCCACATTGGAAGGCATCCTGCATTCCAGAAATATGGTCACTTACGTGTGCAGCTGCTGTGTTAGAAACTAGTGGGCTGTGTCTTTGAAGGACTACAGGGGAATCATACAAGAACCAAAACCAAGACATAATGTCCTGTTTTATATGTGCAAAGGAGCCCTAGGTTCTTATAAAATCCACCATGTACCTTAATGATACTGTTGCTAATGGACTATTATAGACAGTGGCACTGATCAAGAAGCATATTGAAGTTTATTTATGAATGCCTAGAAAATCTGAGCTGATGTACCATATAAACATCCCTGCTGAGAGGTGCATCACTCATTTGTTGTCTTACCAGGATGAGAGAAATTATTTTCCTGGCCTTCCATACCACTTACTGATGTAACTGGGCAGTATTGGTGATACTTATAATATCAGGATAAATAATTCCTTCTCTCACTTCTACCTTCAATGGTATTTGCATAGTTCTTTTGAGCCACAATGAGTGAAAAGTAGTCTTCCTCTTCACTGGTGAGCAGTAATGTGGTGCACTGATAAGCAAGCCAAGGAAGAAGGTTTTGCTTTTTCCAATCCGCTGGAAGATTTTCCCAATCCAACTACAACCCTCCTATGAGTAATCCAAATTGAAATCTTCCTTCCACTTATCTTTAAAGCTAAAGGGGAAACTCAGATTACTCCACATTAAAGATATGGTGATGATAAGAAGTTTTAGGAGTTAAAATGGGAAAGAGCAAATTTATCTCCCCTCTTCTTGCTGAGTTAAGAGCCTGATTTCCTTGCTTGATTGAAATCCATCCTTTCTGATGTTTGTAAGGAGGGCAGCATAGAAAGTGAACCCACGTATTTAACATGTTGATGTCTTGCCATAACAAATTACAGGTAAAAGTCTTTGACCAAGCACTGATCATAGGAACTTTTCAATATCTGAAGGGCCTACAAGGGAGCCAGAGAGGGACTCTGTGTTAGGAACTGCAGTGATAGGACAAGGGGTAATGGGTTCAGACTGAAGGAGGGGAAGATTAGGCTAGATATTAGAAAAAAGTTTTTTACTGTGAGGGTGGTGAGACACTGGCACAGGCAAGTGGTAGCTGCCCCAGCCCTGGCAGTGTTGAAAGCCAGGCTGGATAAGGCCTTGAGCATCCTGATCTGGTGGGAGGTGTCCCTGCCCATGGCAGGGAGTTGTGACTAGATGATCTGTAAGGTCCGTTCCAACCCCTAAAATTCTATGATTCTATGATCTGCCTGAAGTGTCCATGAATGTTTTATCAACATTATGAAAGGGTAAAAAAACCCCAGAACAACAGGAATAATTAATTCTTTCTAATTAAGTTGCTGTGTCTGTTCATACCTCATTTATATTCATTATTAGCAGATTTTCTGGCAGCACGATTTGCCAACTATCTATTTTAAATAAGTGTTAACACACTAATAGAGATCTCAGTAATTCAGTCCAACTTGATGCCTTCCACCATTGCTCTTCCAATGTGATCTTAATATATGTGACTAATTCCTCCCAGTTCTTTGCCAGAGGAAGATGGCTTATTCCCTGCTTACAAATTAGGCATCTGAGCATGTGGGCATTACCTTGCATAAGATGTGTGTAGCAGAAGCAGGATGGTTATTCATAATCCCAATCCACTCATAAGAAGAGCATCTTTCTCCCTCCTTTATTCAGCAACCTGTGGCAAGATTCACCTGCCTTAATTTCAATGGTTCAAGGTTATTTACCTAAACCTGAGCTGGTTTTTATCAGCCCATGGGGTGTGTTGCTCTTTGCTGCCTAGCAGACTTTTAGCAAGTGAACAAGTGAAGCAGGACTCCATCACAGAGAGGAGCTGGCAAAGAAGTGTTTAATGAAAAACACTGCTCCCCACTGTGACTTTGTGAACAAAGTGGTACAAACCTCATCAATGAATTATTCAAACACAGGCACTCTGCTCAGGTACAGAAGGGGGGGAAGGAAAACCTAACAGAAAACAAGCTGTTGTGGGTGGTAGAGAAACACATCTCCTGTGTTCAAATAGGATACACATCCAGGCAGCAGCATCAAAAGCTTCTCTGAGTGCAAACCATTAGTGCTTTTCCCACCCTAGCCTGGAGGATGTTTGTGAGGGGCAGAGGGAGGTGTGTGTGGCAGGATGTGGATGGTCTTTGTTCCTTTACCTCCGGGGCTAGGACCTCACCTACAGGGTAAGACTTCCACCTGATAGAGAAGATCCATCTCAGGATTGCAAAAGCTGCCACTTGACCAATGGGTGCCCCTGTAAAGGTCTTGTAGAATTATAGAACCTTAGAATGGTTTGGGTTGGAAGGGACCTTAAAGCTCATCTAGTTCCACCCCTCTGCCATGGGCAGGGACACTTTCCACTAGACCAGGTTGCTCAAAGACCCATCCAACCTGGCCTTAGACACTTTAGGGATGGGGAAGTCTCCTTCTGCCCTGTCTCCTCCACATGTGATGCTGTAACCAAGGGCCCCATGCTGATGTCAGGACGTTTAGGAGCTACATACGTTCAAATATATTTTTAGAAACACTGGAAGAGGGGAAAGACTGCCAAAGCAGCAGGTTTAGGTAGGAGCCAAGCATGGGTTTGTGGCCTCTGATGCTCGAGCCTGTTGCTATCTCTACACCTTTTCCTGCAGTCAGATCCTGCAAAGGGATTAGTGATGATATTGAGCATTGTGACTTGTGAGCAAACAGCTTTGCTTGTGAGCTGCTCCTGCTTCTCCATAATAAAATACAAATTTCATAAGCTGGAGAAAACTATTGATCACCTAGGAGTGTTCCCATTCCCTCCCTTTCAAACAATGTATTCAGTGCAAGTGATAAATGAAGCCTAACCTTCTTCTGTGTTCTCTTTCTGACAAGAAGTGCTTGCTGATGAGAGGGCATGGATAACCATGGTATTTAATTGCTGTTTATACTTCTCACCTTAAAAGACAACTGATTATTTCTTGTTTGTAAAAAGAGAAAGCAGCAATTATCTTGTGCTGGAGGAGCTCATAAAGTATCAGCAGTAATTAGATTCGGTAGTAGAAGGTCTCATACAGCAAAACAAGATCTGTCATTGTAATTATTTTCCAATACAGTGATGTTCGTGCCATGCCGAAATGACTGCTGGTGATGGTGGGAAACGCAAAGTGAAAGGGGAGAGAAAGGAAATGAACTTTCAGGATCTAAAAAATGCTGACAGCAGGAGATGTTCTTACATAATTCTCTTTTACTCTTGTATAGTTCAGTTGGCAAATAACACAACCAACATGACTGGGAAGGATGTGGGTTGTGTGTCTGTAGTCAAAGGGTGTGTGGGGTTATGGTGGGAGCTGGGGGAGTGGAACCAGGTTGATGCTGTCCCTCCTCTTCAGTCACTGTCCCCCTCAACCTTGGGAAACAGCATGGGACAGTGCCCACACACTGCCTGCACCATCCCTGCCAGCTTTGAGGGTGATAAGGGACAATGCCCAAGGAGATGGAGGGATGGCATGAGGTGGTGGTTACCATTGAACAACACCCTCACCCAGACTCCCTGGGAAATGCAACTTAGCTTGGTTAAAAAAGGTGCAGGGTGTCGAACCTGAGAGGCTCAGTTAGCCCCATTCCTGTCAGGTATGGCTGCACTGGGATTGCTTCTGCTTCCAGCTTTGGCCAATTAAGCATTTAGCAGGACTGACCATGGAAACATCAGCAAGGCTGACATTTAGTGGTGAGAAAAACTTAGAAAGCAAGCTGCAAAGAGTTCCAAAAATGCTGAGTGATGAATGTCCTCAAGATCAAAGCTGCTCAGATTTAAAGTTAAATCATTCCCTCCTGGAGATGCTCCTGTTGGGCACCAGACAGATCCAAGAGGCACTGGTGACTGAACTTGGTGCGTGCCCCGTCCCAGCTGGAAGGAGAGTGCTTGGAAAGCAAAATTGCCCAAAACTGGAGCTGAAATTGCAAGGAATGAGACAGGCTACAGGGAAGAGTGGGGTACAGCAGGAGGGATTTATGGAGGAGGCCTGAGGACCTGAAGGTGGCCCTGAATGAGCCTCTAGCATCACCTTTGGTCCTGGAGAGGGAGGAAAAGGAGATGTGAATGGCTGTTTTATTCCTTGCTTGCTCACAACAGCTCCAGTGCAGTCTATCAGTTAGCTCATTTAATGGACTTGGAGAGGAAATCCAGCCAAGTGGTGACACATGACACATCCCCTGAGAGCCTTGTCATGTCAGAGTGCCAAACACCACACATGTGTCTGATGGACTGGACTGTACCCAAACCAGCTGCAAACACATTTTCCCCTGAGAATCATTATTAGATGAGAGAATATGTGAATCATAAAGGGACAACTGAGTGTACTGACCTTCAGTACCAGCTGCTACTGTTGCAACAGCACTAGGGAGCTCAGAGGTGTATACATACAGGTGAATAGGTTTGCATATGTTATTTGTGGGTTAAATTATTCACCCTTCCTGTCTCTGCCTTGTAAGATGTCATCACAGTGAACAGGAGATGCCAGGCTCCTGTGGCTCAGTGGGATCTGCAGCACACCTCTCCTCCTTGCTGCTGGTCCCAGCATGGCCAGGAGTCTCCCCCAGTTTTCAGCCCCCAGCAGCACACTGAAAAGCTGCACTTGTTTGAGCAGCTCAGTTACAGCCCCAGAGCAAGCACCATCTGCCACCAGACTTGGATGCTAAAAATGGTGGATTTTTTTTCTTATTTTGTTTTATAGCACAGCCCAGACCAGCAATATAGAGTGTTCTCATTTGCATTCTTACCT